GGCCAGGTTGGATGAAGCTTTGAGCAACCTGATCTAGCGGAAGGTGTCCCTGCTGATGGCAGGGGGGTTGGAACTAGATGATCTTTAAGGTCCCTTCCAATCCAAACCATTCTATGAAGTCTTTTGTGCTAGTTGTCTTGTGGCAAACACCTTTAAAAAAGTTGTGAAACTTAAAGATGAGTTATGCATTTTTCTTTTATAAGTGTTCCTAATTTTGCTGACCTTTTCTGTGATGATAAGTGGCTGTCATTAGAAGATAGTTTTGGTAAAATAATGACACTTAATCTGTCCTTCAAGGTAAAGGTAACATCTTTTAAGAATGAGTGAGAAATTAACTGCCTTTCAAAAAAAAAATCATGCTATGGAGAGAGCATTTTGAAAATGGTTTTTTGGATATGTTTCCACTGCTATGTGATTTTGTTGCTGAATACTATGTATATCCCTCTTTTAAAAAACTCTTATGTCTCTACACTTTAAAAACTTGGAAACAGAATTTTCTAACCTGTTTAAAAATCTTTCAAAATGTTTGAGTGGATTTTGAATGCTTTCATTAAAAATGGAAAAATGCCAGACCTTTCAGTTAGTTTGCAAGAACAACTGAGTGACATTAAAGAAGATGGAAATTTACTAGATGAATTTCCCCAAAAACCTTTGTGTAACTGGTGGATGGGATCATGATTTATTAATCATATTAAACTGCAGCCAATGATGCAGTTCTTCCATTTGGATCTATATATCTTTGAGGGTTTTTTTTTTCAGCTGACAGCCATTCAGACAAAGTCTTTATATAAACTGAACTTAGAACAAGACCTTTGAATCTCTGAACGTCAGAGTATAAAACCAAGATTAATGAAACATATTCAATCACATTGCTCTCATTAAAAATATTAATAATAATATTAGTGAAAGCAAAAGGCTTCTTTAAAATTAATAACTAAAATTATTTAAAATATTGTTTATTTCATCTTTATTTAATCCTTTTTAAATTTCGATTTTTGTGGATGTTTTATTGTATACATAGTATGTTAGTACAGTAGTATGTGTATAATCTATAAATAAATATACATGTGTATGTATATTTATTTATACATTGCATGTATATGTATATATAGATTGTATTATATATAATATATATACACGTATATATACATATATATGTATATATGCATATACATGTAGATTGCATATGCATGTATATGTATATTTATTTATAGCATGCATGAGGTGCATGCTCAAAAATTTCTTGCTGATAAGATTGTATGATGAAGAAGGTTTGGAGACCACTGTTTTAGAGGAACATGCTAGCAAGTAGTGTGGCTGGCTGGAACTCTGTTGAGCCTGTTAGTAATACAGGTATTTAGTTAGTAATATAAGTATTACCTGGGAGTTTTTTTGCTGATTTTCAAGAAGCAATGCATTCGTATATAATGGCTTGGAATAAGTACATGGTTTTATTTCTATCTCCATCTAGCTAGTGTAAGCAGGTAACATTTCATTTTTGTAGTGTGTGCAACATGCCAGTAGAATTAAATTTAGACTGCATGTTCTTCAGGCTTCTCAACAGATAGTGTAGTCAAACAGTGAATATCTTTTCTTTCTTCTGAATTAAATTCAAGCAATCAAATTAGTGTGGAAGACTCAATGTACTAAACTAATCAAAGAGTTGAAACCTGAGATGTAGGAAACTTTAATGTATTTAATTCTTTGTAAAAAACCTTTAAAAAGCACTCATTGGCAAGTTGTATGAAGTAATTTTGCCTTTACATCCTTCGTTGCATGATCATTTAAAATTTAGCAGGTGTAGGGTTTGCAATTCTGTGAGTGTTAAATCCTATCCCCTCACTAATACCACTTCTGTAATCAAAACCCTGCTGTTTCTTCGATATATTCAGGCTTCAGTTCAGCAATGCACTTATATTCACACTTGAAATGTAACCTGTCTTAGTCTCTTGCTGTTCAACAAAGTTCTGATATAAGTGCCCAATATTAAATGCGTGTAATATAGCTGTGTGCTTAAAATTGAGTGCCTGAGTGGTTGGCCAAATTTGGGTCTGAATGATGTGAAGTTTGACAGAGGCTATAACTGGAGTACTTTTTTCAAGTAAAAAGTAAAATGTTTAGAAGTTGAAGTATGTTCTGTCTGAGAATATGGTGCCTTTAAAATGCATATGTTATGCTATAATTTTGTGTTGGAGAATAAACAAATTGCATGTAATCATGTGTAGCATGTAATATACCAGCATCGATCCCCTTCTAGTAGTTCTTCAATCTCATTGCTGAAGAGATGTATCAATCTTTGTTTCGGGTGTACTTTTAATAGCCACATATTCTCTACATCCATACTAAAGAATGTGTTCTGAAGCACAGAAACCGCTGCTAAAATAGCGGAAGCGTAGATTTACTGGACAATTTATTCCTACCTAAAAATGTTTCCAATCATATCACATTGTGTCAACATATTAAATTTTTCTATATTTCAGTTGATAGATATCAAGTAATAGTTACATATGCTGGTATACTATTGATCTGTCTAATTGGCCAACATTTTTACTAATACAGCTCATTTCTTGTTAAGAGGCTTTCAGAGTGCTTCATTATGGGTTAGTGTTTAAACTGGGCTGTGTTGCTGTTCTGTTAAGAGTACCATTCAGAACAAATGCTATGTGTATCAGTGCAGTTTACTGCCAGCTCTTGCGATCTGAAAGAACAATGTAATTTTTATTTTAATCATAATGAGTAGTACAGTGGCTGTCTTACTTATGTTCTTACTGCTAGGGAAGACCTAACCTTACATTGTCATCCAGTGCTTTCCTTTTATTCTTCTTTTATCTTGTAGTTATTTTACTAATTTTTCCTTGGTAGCACTGTGCTTTCTTTCCCAAATCTGCAACACAGGTTGTCTGCACTGGCTTCCATTAGTTCAAACCTTTGTGTATACAGCTTCACCCATTCTTTTGAGTTTTATTCAATAAAATGCCTGGTAAGGCAGTGGTATTAAAAAGTTATATGCTGTAAAAATGGCTAATTCTGTACCATTCCAAAGAAACACCTTTTCAGATAATGTATTACTATGCTATTTAATTTTCATAGTGAAAAATAAGCTTTAAAATTAAGGATTAACTACTTCAGGCATTATTTTGGTATTAAATTAGATGAGAAATGTCTTCCCTTTTAATTGCTGTTCCCTAGGCCTGTATGCAGAAAATGGAAACATGTGACATGCTTGAATTGGAGCAGAAATTAGTGAATGCTGTAAATTATGTTGCTTTCCTGATAGAATGTGTCAGCTTTTCACCAGCAGACATTCGACTGAACAGTAATGTTTTTCAATGGTATGCACGAATGCCAGATATCTTTGAAGAGCACAGAAAGATGATTGAAGAAAAAACAGATCAATTTCAAGATGGTCTTAAGGTTTGTAATGAAAATATTTTAAAAATCCTTGAGCTGCTAATTTTGAATGGCATATAGGAGATGAAATAATGGATGGAATAACCTAGGTTTTTTCCCCCCATATATTTTAAAAAGAAGTTTAGAGTAGAAGTTTTTGTAGTATTCTTGCTATTAACTAATTTTTGCCTTGTTTCCACTCATTTGTTTTTCACATATACACAAGTACTGCAAGACAAGCCACACCTCACATTTTGTGCTTTGAAAGCTCTTTGATAACAAAACTTCCAGCGATGTTGATGAAAGTTGTCTGTATGTGAAATAGTAAAATTCAGATAAATCTTTTAAAGACATGTACATAGATTGATTTATGCACATGTGCAGTCCCTTTCTATGATAGCACAAAAAAAATTCTGCATTAATTTGGAAGTGTGATTCTAGTGTTAGGATAATGTCAGATAAGGTAGTTTTATGAGATAAGTGCATCTTGATTCAGGTTTGGTTCATTTTTTAATCTCATACTTTACATGTATTCTATCTGTTAGAATTTTTCGTTATATTTACTAGGCTTTTACAGTAGTTTGTCATATCATCTGAGTGATGAAGTCTTTCCACAAGGATTGCTAAATACAAAGCTGCTGATCTGTTACAGTTACTGCCTGTATAGCTGTGTGCTTTGTTTTTTTTGTGCTCCTTAGTCTCATAATTTTGTCTTAGATCACACCTATTTTAAGATAGTGAGCTTCTGTGTTTATGCAGTACATTTAAAGAAGTAGCTTGTAAGCATTATTGTGTTGCAAATAAATGCGCAGCGTAGACTTTGTTATCTTGAAACTTGCTATTGCTTTGTATGGTTTGATGCTTGGTTTCAGATATTGACCACTACTGATAATCAGTGTGAAATATGTGTTGTGGAGTAGTATATATGAGGAAAAAGCTATCCTGGAACTGTGGGGCTTTAAAACAAGGCACACCTCTGTCTTGTGAAACTGTTGAGCTTTGTCTGTCATTTGATTAATTTAATCCAATAATCCTATTTTAATTTGAGATATACTAGGTATTTGAATTCAGCTTTTTATTATTAGCCTGCTGTGTCCATCACAGAAAACAGAAATTTCTATGTCCAACTGTATCCTATGACATAGAACCCAAAGTCACATCTGTCAGCCCAATAAGTCACTGCAGATAACAGTAGGATTCAGAGCAAATTCTGTAATTTGGGTGGAATAGATACTCGTGCAAATATGTTGGATGTACTGTATTTTCTGCAAGTATGAAGTGTCCTACTGTAATCAGAATAGTTATTCCTTCTTTTTACAGAAATTTATTGTGGGATTTTTTTTTGTGTGTGTAAATGAGTATATACTTGCTTGATGTTTAATTAGATACGCTGTGAACAATTTGTTGAGGATCTGAAAAGCTACTCTAAGGAGGCTGAAGAACTTAGCACATTTGGAGATATTCAGGAAGTCAACAGATACTTGAAGAAAGCTCAAGCGTTAAATACAAAATTGGATCTTGCTGCTGAAAAGGTACAGATTACAGTCTAAACTACTCCAATACTATGAATTGTAAATCTTAATATTTGTCGTATCAGAATCAACAGTTTGGTTACTTACACAGTTACTGAGATATGGCAAAATTATTCTTCAGCTGTGACATATTTTTACATTATTTGCAATTTAAATTGCAAATTTACTGAGCACAATAATTTGTTACTATGTCTTGAGTTTAACACAGCAGCATTTTATGTAGTGAAAGAGTGGATTAAACTTATGTAGGTTTGCATAGAGATTATACTTTTCTGTTCTTGGAAGTGGAATTCCTCATGCTTATTGTTACCTTCCATCTGTTAAAGCCTTCACGGTAGTGGAGATTATAGAGGAAAGGCCAGGTACCATTTTAAACCTCTAACTGTATTTCTCTGTTGACTAGCATGAATGATGAGCTGTTACTGTTAATGATTGCTTTAACTGCAGTCAATGGCAGCAATTACATAATAGACTGTTTTAGTAACTCAGAGTTTAATTTGAAGCTTGTTGAAGACACCAGAAAATCTCCCCAATCCTGGTGGTAAGGAACTGGTATCATGGACAGCTTTGGTATTTCACATCTCACTTATGTCTCAACAGATTGATCAGTTCAATTCAGAAGAAGAATCCTTTGGATTGCCAATATCTCAGTACCCTCAGCATAAAAACATCCGGAATACCCTTACTCCTTATCTTCGTCTCTATGATATGACTGTTGAATTCAACAGAAAATTTAAAGATTGGACAGAGGGATCATTTACAGAAGTGAATCCAGACAAAGTAGAGGTAGATGTAGGAAACTACTGGCATGGTCTGTATAAACTGGAAAAAACCTTCCACAATTCTCCAAATGCATTAGCAATAACCAGTCAGGTTAAATCAAAAGTAGAGGAATTCAGATGCCACATTCCTCTAATCCAGGTGATCTGCAATCCTGGTTTGCAAGAAAGGCACTGGGAAGAGATGTCAAAAATTGCTGGTTTACCACTATCTCCTTCTGAAGACTCAAATGTCTTGTCATATATTAACTTGCATCTTGAACCATTCCTAGAAAAGTTTGAGACCATCAGTGAAACAGCCAGCAAAGAGCATTCACTTGAGAAAGCTTTAACAAAAATGATTTCTGAATGGGATCAGATGGAGTTCACTCTTCTTGCCTATAGAGAAACAGGAACCTATATTTTGTCATCTGTAGATGATATTCAGATGTTATTGGATGACCACATTGTCAAAACCCAGACTATGAGAGGATCTCCATTTGTTAAGCATTATGAAAAGAGAATAAGGTAATTTCTTTTTCTAATAGAAAGTCACCAAGTAATGTTACCAAATAAGATTTTTTTTTCTGCTTAATCTAAAGCACGTGGACTTGAAATGCTTTTGCTTATTCTCCTTTTAGCAGTGAATTAATCTAACTTTAAATGACTAAGACTTTTGTCCCATGTCAACTACATGCTATTTAATCCCATGAAGATGATTTTTACTTTTAATTAGTGGTATGGGAAGTGCTAATGCATTGGAGAGGTTGCCGAACATGCTCTAGGACTCAAGGTACCAGATGCATTGTAACATTACCTTTGTTTTACCAGATAAAACATATCTGAGGTGTAGATGGAAAGGTTGTAGACTAAGAGAATGTAGTCTAAACTTTCTACCTAAATTATAAAGCTACTGAATCTTTTAGCTCTTAAACAATTAAAAATGTTAGGGCTTGTGAAAGGGAGATGAAGAAAATGAAAACAGGACAAATTTCAGGAAAGTGATGAAAGATTTTTTTTTTTTCCATAATGCAGAAAATTAAATTTCAAAACTTAGCATTGCATGTTAAAAATTCTATACTTCCATCTTTGAGCATAGATTTTAATCTGATTTTTGTCTCTTTCCTCAATAAATACTTTACTTGTTACTTAAATCCCTCAAACATAGCCACACTGTGGAAAACCAAAAATCTTTCATCTCAAGTTTGTCTGTAATTATCTAGCTATATAAGTACCTCCCAACTCCCATTAACCTGCAAAAATACTATTTCAAATTTCAGCACATACTCAATTTATATATTAATATGAGTACATACTTACATATGCATACATGTACATTCCAGTAAGTATTAATTCTCTAATTACTACTGTACTATAGCGTGAGAGTTCCTTCCTTATTAATGTAAAATGACAGGTTTTGCCTATTTAAAAAGACTTAAGCACAGCATGGTAATTTAATCAAGAGTTTTTTCATGACTGACAGCATTTGTAATAATACCAGGTATTGCTATTACTTCAGTCTTTGAGATTTAGGCAATTACACATTGGTTGCTTTCTCAGTAACCAACAAAGCATGTAGAATTCTGGATTGCTGCCAGAGATTATTCCAAATTTCTTGTCTAATTTTTTTTATATTTTTGGTGTAAGCAAATTAACTGACCTGCCTAACTTTCCTCTTGGAAAGCTGCATTTTTCTGTTTCTCTTGAAAGAAGCAAAATCACCAGAGATGAGGTAGCAATACCTAAAAGATGAAAGCAAGCAAAGCTGTCTGTTGTTTAGAATCTGTGATAGGTAAATTAATGAAGGAAGAAGTTAAATATGTTTTAGCATGTGTAATGTTACAACAGTTACTGCAGCCTATGTATGAGTGTCCTGTTGAGAAAATTATTGCTGTAGTTCATTTGTACAATATATATTTTAACAGCATGCACTTTTAGTAATAATTCTATATGTACTGTCCAGTGGTATGAGAGTTGTAAAAAATGATACTCCTTTTATACAGGAAAGAAGAATATATGTCCTTGTTATAGGAATATAAATAGCATTTTATTTTTATGTATTTTTTGCAAATTGCTCATGTCAGTGAATTAGGAATACAAATGACATAAGAGAACTGATAATATCACGTGTCTGATATTGGTAAGATAGTGAGATGTGTTAAATGGTGGTGTTAGTAATTTTAAATGATGCAGAAAAATTGAGGAGACTTAGAAAAAAATGATAAAGGAACTTGAATTTCTTCCTATCAAAATGAAAGACTGAATAGCTATTGAGTTATAATATTGTGTACCCATAATGGTGTGCAGTAATACTGAATGTCTCTTTATCAGACAAATGTGTTCAACATCCACGTTTGAAATTTGAAGTCAGAAATAAAATGTGATTTAACCATGGGACTATTTACTCTAGTACTTGAAATCTTTTAATTAAGATCACATGTCTTTTTAGGACAATGTCTACATATTTTTGGTTTAGTAGCTTAGGTTACTTTCATGTCTATCTTTTGCCATCTCAGTCTGTCTATCCTAGCAAACAGTTTGGTGTATGCCAGAAACCAGGTTACATATTCAGCTTGAAGTGAATTTGTCTACAGATACTATTACATGCTAAAGTGTGTGCTATGTTTATTCACTGATAATGTTAGTCTATTGGATTAACGTAGTTCATGAAATCCTACAATCAACCTTACAGATGATCCAGTGGCACAAATTATAATGTAAACTTTGTTATGTAGGATATCAGACCAGGTGAATTTGATAATCTGCTGAAAGCGTAAAACTTACACCTGTTGCAGTTGTTGCTGAATATGAAAATTCACAAAAAGGTCTTAGCAGTCTGTTGGAAATGTTTTACTGGCAGCATCAATTAATGCATTTGAACTAATACTATTTTATAGGGAATGGGAAGGAAAGCTGTTGTTGGTACAGGAGATCCTGGATGAATGGCTGAAGGTTCAGGCTACTTGGCTTTATTTGGAGCCAATTTTCAGTTCTCCTGACATCATGGCTCAGATGCCTGAGGAAAGTAGACGGTTCACTACAGTGGCTAAGACATGGAAAGACTTAATGAAATCAATTTTTCAGGTAAGTACTGCTATCTTAAGCATATAGTGTGAATTTGTACAAAAAAAAAAATGCTTCTGATAGCACAGTAGTCTATTTTCTGTTTCATTTTAGCCACCTTTCTTAGATTCTTTTAAAAATTATTTTGCAGAACTGTTTCACATAAAATCATAGAAACACTGATTGGGAGGGGCCACTGGAGGTCAGTTATTTTAACTTCTTTCTAAAGGCAGAACTTTTGCCAACACCACATCAGGTCAGCCACAGCTTTGTTTAGCCAAATTTCAAAAAATCTCCAAGGACAGGGATTTCTTGCAGATTACCTCCTGAGACTTTAGTGCTGTGGTACCTTCCTAGTGAATAATTTTTTGTTAATATCCAAGCTGAACCTGCCAAGCAAAGATTTGTGCCTGTTGCCCCTTGTTGCCTAGCTGGCACTTCTGAGAAGCTGGGTCTGTTTTTTTCAGTTGCTTTTCATGTAGTTGCTGGCTACAGTTAAATTCTACCTTAATTTCCGCTTCACCAAGCTGAACAAGTCCATCTCTCCCAACCTCTTCTCACAGGCTATGTGCCATTCTGGTGAGTAAAATTAAGCATACAAAACAAAGTAACATAGTAATTATGATCTTGGCACTGTAGGTCAATTGACATGAATCAGTGAAATTTTGCATTGATTGGTCCTTTTGAAAAATGCTATTTATTTACATATTGAATGGTAGAGATGCTTGTATAACTCTAAAATATTTAGGTATTTAACTTGCTTCAAAAGTTCTGTTGTGATCTGCTATAGATCAGTATGTAAAACAGTTGTCAGACACCATCATTGCACACATCTGGCATTTCAGAATGTTACTGTTTTACTAATCTGCTTCTTATTTGACCTTTTCCAGAAGTTAGCACTGTTATTAGAATCAATTGATAAGATTATGTGAATGCTCTTTGCTTCAGTAGTTAGATCTCAGCCTTGAATCAGGTTAGATTGCCTATATTTGCCAACCTAACTGGATGAACACTCCTACAGTCTCTTCTGCTGACTCTGCCGAGAGGACAGTGGCTTCTAGCAAAGAGGTGGCACTAGTAAGGGAAGACATAACATCTGAAACTGGCACAGCTGATTATTCAGCAGTTACATTATCAGTGGTCTGAACGCGTGCTAGTAAATTCTGTTCCTCAGGGAATATAACCAGTTACCTAGTAATTCTGGTAATCCTGTTATGTAATTCTAGCAATTCTAATAATGATTAGAGAAAACTGCATTCATTCTGAAAAAGTTCCCTAATATCAAAGACATTTCTAGAAGAATGTTGCATTTTATTTTTATATTTGTAACTGAGCTTACTAAACTATTCAACAGACTTGAGGATATTTATGAGGTCCACAGTTTTCCAGGGCAGGGATATAGGATTGCCATTTGAAGGAAAAAATTAGAAACTTTGTTTTCATCCGTCTCATGCCTTTGCAGAACTTTCAGAGATCCATTATGTCATTAGGACAGATGCTAAGATCTTCACTCAGTCTATGCCAGAATAGAAGTTTAGCAATCTAACATTAATTTTGGCTAAACACGTAGACGTTATTTTCCAGAAGATGGCACTCTTTTTCCACAAATGCAATGTTTAAGTTTCATGGCTTGAAAGATTGCTCTTCCCCAGTCTATGAGTTGTTTTTCTTGAAGTATAAAGCTAACTTGAGTCTGTTCATGCTTTTTTGCATTTATATGCTATTGTATTATAAAATTGCTGTGTATTATAAAATTGCTTTATTTGCTTAGCTTTTCATCATAAATTTGAATAATAATATATTATTCCTTCATCTTAAATATCTAATTTAAGCAATGTGCATTAATGAGGGTTAAATTACTTAGTGTTTTAGTTTCTACTTCCCATAAATTTTAAAAAAATACAGAATATGGAAACTTTTCTGTCTGTGGGGAAGAAAGCAACCTGTGAAATTTTAACGATTATATTTAGAAAGTAGAGTTAGTGATGGTCTCTTAACAGGGTACTCAAACTATTTTTATACACCTGATTTATACTATGTTCTTGATAGATTTTTCCCTTCATTGACATTGACAGTGTCACTGACAAAATAAATTACGCTGATGTTTTGAATGGCTAAGAACGATGGCATTCCTTTTTTTATTTCTTTATTCCTTGGCAGAACTGTAAATAGGAAATCTATGTTGAAGTAGAATTTTTTTTTTTCCTGGCTTTTTCTCATTTGAAAGGAGAAACAAGCAGGAAGGATCCCATTTATAAAACTGGCAAGCTTTGATTTGCTTTACCAGTTGCACTTACTCTATTTACTGATGATAAATATGCTAAGAAAGGGAACAAAAACTGTGTTCACAATGTATAGTTATACAGTTCTTTGTGGATTAAAAACTTTTATAGAACCAATTATGAACTATGTTCGTATGCTGGCAGCTTAATTTTCCATGTATAGATGAAAAGTATATGTAGTTACTGAGTTTGTTCTGGTTTAGTATGATTAAAGAGGCAAATAACAAGGTAAATGTACTTCATGTACAAAGGAACACTATGATAATTGTATCAGGAAGGTGCACCCCATGAAGATCAATTAGGTAAACATACAATTCTGTTTTTTTTTCAGATTGGTAGTACATGTGTAACATCAGCAGGGAATTGAACCAAAACTGAATGCATGTTGCAAATAATTTCAAAATGTTACGAGTTTTTGAACTGAAATTAAACTTGGAATTTATTATTAAATTCTCCAAACTGAAACTGAAGCTGAACAGCAGTCAGGTTGCTGGGTCAAATCTGCATTGTCACCTTGTGAGGGATTTGTTTCTTACAGATACCTTTTGCACCTTCTGGGCTTTGCACAGCAGTCTAGCTTGTGTCTCCTCATCTGTCCCTTGCAACATGAGTTACCCATGCTTCCGTTCTGTGAGACTGTATTGTTCTGCAAACCCTATCAGGGGCTTTTCTGAGTGGGACATTCTGTATTTGTAATGGACTCTGACAAAACTATTCCTAGTGGAAAATAGTCTGGGCATATATTTGATTTCTCCTGTCCGTTATTGGAGTATTCGTTTGTTCCTCTTGGCAGTGCTTAAACCCCTCATTACACTGAATAATCTGAAATTCTCTCTACCAATCTCTTTGGTGTTTCTTATGGTTGGATATACCTATGTCTTTTTACATTTTAATCCTGGATATGTGTTCTATGCTGTGTGCTTACAGGTGCAGATTCACTGGGCAGAGCAGAGGGGACCTAAAGGTTGACTAACGTTTCTATTTAGCTCTGTTTTCTTCTCACCTGTGGCCATTCTGGCCCCATGCACATTCCATCAAAATGCAGTCTGATTAGAGGTAGAGGAGAAGCTATGGCAGAAGCTGTGTTCTCAGACTTTGGGAAGTGGAGCAGGAGATTGTGATTAATAACTCTTCATTTCCTTGCCATGACTTTGTCATTGTAGAACATTATGTACTACAGCACGAGTGGGTTTGAATCAGTTCACGATATAACAAGTCAGTTAATGTACTGGCACGGGCCTGAACTAGAACTAAACTAGAATAAATTCAGTCACAGATGAACCCAAGCCTAAACTAGAACTGAGTAGAAGCACTTGCTTGGTTTGAATTCCTCAGTCATAAATCTGCAGAATTTCCTACTTCTCAATGTGTTTCTCATTTTGATCCCAAAACCCCATACTTGTTGAACAAGATTAAAAAACGTAATGATGATTAGGCTATATATTAATCATAATAAGACATATTAAATGCTAGAATCTGATGTTCAGACAACTGTATTTTTTAAACCTGCTTATCTTGACAACCTTTAGATCTTTTGCAAAATCTTTTACATTTTTTATTAATTGAGATAAGTTTCATCTTAGCATTAGCTTTTCTAAGCATTAACATTCATTTATTTTGAGAGGTTAATTTAGAAAGTGCTAGAAAGAATTTTGAAAGCACTATATACCTTAATATATATTTTGTCATCTACACAGTGTGTAAATATAAGAAACCTAGTGTTTGTCCAATAGTATATCTTGACAGATGTTATTCAGATGCTGTTGTAAAAATAGAAATACAATTTTTTACATTTTTAAAGCAAGTATGACTTCTCATTTTTGTTAGCAAAAAATTTTAAATGTGTATTGAAATAGTAAACGTATTAGGATCAGAGAATATCTTTTTTTAGATCACATTACTAGTTAGTGTTAGTACTGAAGCGTCAGTGTTGCCTACATACAACTTTGCTGTCTCAATACTTATAATCTCGTATATATATATTTATATATTTTATACGGAAGGAAAGATTGGTTTTTTGCATTAAACACCAGTAGATTATTACGACTTAAAATGTGTGATGGCCTGGTTGTCATGAAAATACACTTCTAAAATTCCATCAAAATGTCTTAATTGTTCATGTTCCTTACTTACACAATCCAATTCAATAGCCCCTGTAAATTGATGTTGCTCTGACAGAATGATGCATGTTGTGCTGTGTGATGAATCGATCCTGTTTTGTAAATTATTTTCAAATAGTTAATATTTTGAAAAATTTACTTTAATGCGAAATACATAACTACTTTTCCAGTGAACCTTAGCAATGAAGAAAGTAAGTAAATTCTAAACCCGACAATGGTTTGAGTAAAGCAGAATTTGAAATAAAAATTCATTTTGCTTAAGAATTAGTGCTATGTGGTGATTTAATTAAGAAGCCATTAACATTTTTATCTGGAATAATTTCTTTTCCAGGACAAGCATGTGCTGACAGTAGCAATAATAGACAAGATGTTGGAAAAACTCAGGAAGTGTAATGAATTTCTGGAGCTAATTCTCAAGGGACTTAATGAATACCTAGAGAAGAAGCGCCTGTTTTTCCCCAGATTCTTTTTTTTATCTAATGATGAACTTCTTGAGATACTTTCAGAGACCAAAGATCCTACTCGGTATGGTAATATTTAATAGATGTATTTGTGACTCACAGTGCATGCAGATAGTCTTGTCATATTGTTTCTCTGAGTCCAGAACTCTTTTTTTTCTCACTGACAGATATGGTATTAAGTATCTACTTGGTTAGAATTTATGATAGGTGAATGCAGAGTAATTTTTAATATGGGTAATTAGATTCAGTTCTGTTTTGTAAACTAGTAACTCCTCCATACACTGGTTTTCACAATAATCAGAAGCCCATATAGTAATTCATGTTGAAATTAACATACCAGATTTTTTCCTGGTAGAAAATTGAATATCATATGGAACCTGTGGACTGCTGACTTGAGTTTTACCTTTTTAGTGGCAGTCCTAATTAAAGTATTTAGTATTTTTTTTGCTGTATTTTAACACTCTCTGAGATTTCTACTCCCCAACCTCATTCAGGATTAAACTGCAAAAAGTCCTTCTTATACTGAGTGGAATTAATTCTATGAAGATTACTGCAAAAGCGATCTTGTTAAGCCATATAGCCTTTGCTATAAGCAGAGGAACTGGGATTTGATTCCCAATATGCAGACTTGATAGCATGCAGTCAATGCAATGCAAGGCCATGAAAAATAAGAACAAAAATGAAAAATAAAATGGCAGCTTGGTCACAGAGAAATATTCATATAGTGCAATAAACAAGGCAAGAGATCTTGTTAGGAATAAAATCTTAAAGGTTTCCTTTCTTATTTATTACAGGCTATTGTGTTAAGGTTGTACTTGTTTGCTTTACTCAAGTTCCTTAATGTTTACTATAGTTTGCTGGAAAGGTATAAATAATATAATTTTATGTACTGTAAGTGGAGTAGCAGTTAAAGAGAGAAGAAAGTAGCAGTTAAAAAAGGGGATAGTACACAAGAATTATTGTTGAACATAAACTTTTTTTTTAACAAGCTTAAAATGATCTTTTAAGTAAATTGTTTAGAAATATATATATATATATATTTTAAAATTAGATCCTCAGCAGTATTGTCAAGAAAAAAGTGTCAGAAGCTGTTTAATACTAGTTTTGTTTTTTAGAGTACAACCTCACTTGAAAAAGTGTTTTGAAGGAATTGCAAGAGTGGAATTTACTGATGTATTAGATATTACACACATTAAAAGTAGTGAAGGAGAGACTGTGGAACTCATAGAGACAATCTCGACATCAAAGTCTAGAGGTCAAGTTGAAAAATGGCTTGTTGAACTGGAGGCAGCTATGCTGAAGTCTGTCCACAAGGTAAAAAGTCCTAAACCTCTTATTTTCTAGGCTCATGTCATTCAGCTTTGATTTCTTTAATAATCATTAACGTGTACTGGAACAACTTTTTATTCTTTGCACGTAGCATGAACATTAAAATGATGAGTTTGGCCTATAAAGGTTACATGACTTTTTAAATTTTTTTTTAATTTTTTTTTTTTAGTTCTGGTGTCAATTTCTGGTTGTAAAATTCTCTAAAATTATTTAAAATTAAATAGTAGAGAAAAAAAAGTTTATGCCAAGGATTCTTTTGCCAGATATTACTCTACACTTGATGTGGTATTAAGGGACATGTTTAAACTGAAAGATTGAACATGTTTGGTTTTTTCAATGTTCCTCTTAATTATACCTTAATCAAGACCCTTAACTCTTCTTTTCAGGTTGTATCATTCTAGTCTTTTCAGTGTCTCATCAGTGTGTTGTATATTTAGCTACCTCTGCCGCCTCCTTTTTTGTGGTCCTTTTCAATGTCAAGTGAGGTAATTAAACCTGGAAATGTGCACGCTCCCTGACGCTGTCTTACAGTACAACAGTTTAATTATTGTATTGGTGGAGCAGTACAGAGCAAAGTGAATAACCTGATCTGTTTGGTCCATATCAGACGTGGACAAATTGAGGTGCATGAATAAGAAATGGTTAAGTACTATTTTTCTGCATGTGGCCTTGACTACAGAACTTTTATAATGATCCAAACCAGATAATATTTACATAGTTTTAGTGTCAATACAGACACATTTTTTCCCCTCATAGATCTATTTTTTTAATTGATTCTATTGTGCATATAGATTGTTAAAAGCAAAAAGGCTTGGAACTGCAAAACAAGTGGCAGATTTTCACACAGATAGTTTACACTGCTTGTTTGAGGACCTGTCTGAATTCAGTGAGGAGTTTGTTGATAATAAGACTTGGGTTTTGTTAGTGGCAGGAAAATAACCTGTTGGTGTGGATCGGAAGTTTTTTCCAGAGCAAGCTTTGATTTCATTGGGTTTATCCTTGATTGGTGCTAGAACCAGATTAATCATTCTGTTATTAGGAAATACACTTGAAGTTTGATATAAGTTTAAATAATTTGGTCTGCAAAATTAAAAGCTCGGGGTTTTTAATAGAATGAATAGATGAAAAAACTTTCAGCTTGGGATATTACTTCTAACTAAATTGTATTTGTACGTGTTTTCTAGATTCATTGTAGATTGATGGAGCTAGAAAGTTTCAAGTATCTGATGGGAAGAATCAGAATGTGTTTGTGAAATCAGTTCTTGGAAATTCTGTGTGATTGCTATGTTCATATTATGACATTTTGGGTTTTTTTGAGCTTTGTTGAGAGTTTTGCTTCCAAGACGTTAGTGTTATAGAGTTGAATTTGAGGCTGAATCTAGACCCTGATTTATTTTTTTTTATTCTTGGTAATATTTAACTAACTAACCTAAATTAATTTGAAAGCTGAACATTACCTGTTTTCACATGTAGTTACAGTGTGCTTTTTCCTGTCTAGGTCATTGGGGATGCACTTGAAGCTTATCCAAAAACACCACGTATTAATTGGGTAAGAGAGTGGCCTGGACAAACAGTTCTTTGTGTATCCCAAACTTTCTGGACAATGCAAGTACAGATCTCTATTAGAAGTGGCCAAATGGTAAGAATATTTTAAATTTAAGTCAAATTGATATAATGCAGTAGTAAATCATACCTTTGGTAATAACTTTTTTGGATGGATAGTTGTTCAATGTAATAGTTAATCTTTTGAGTGTCTACTTTAATGATCTACCTGAAATGTGATCCTTGAAGATCCTTTGAAATTAGTATTTCCTTTTGTATGTGGGCACTGATGCTTCTGCACCATGTCAGACTGTGTTCTATGTAGCTCAACATGTAGATTACATGTTTCTGTGAAAGCAGCCCAGTGGTGTATTCAGGTGGTATGTACTAGCATAGCTTATCTGTTTGTCTCTGATTCAGAAGTCTAACTTACCTTCATTAATGTTTAGTGCTTTTTATGATTTAAGTCTCTTTCAAACATTTTTTATTTAATTGTTTCAGCGAAGGGCAACTAAGATGATTAAAGGACTGGAGCATCTTTCATGTGAGGAAAGACTGAGGGAGCTGGGCCTGTTCACCCTGGAGAAAAGATGACTCAGAGGGGATCTGATTAGTGTTAATAAATATCTAAAGGGAGAGTATCTAGAGGACAGGGCCAGACTCTTCTCATTGGCACCCAACAATAGGATGAGAGGCAATGGGCGTAAATTGCAGCATAGGAAGTTCCACCTGAACATAAGGAAAAACTTCTTTCCTGGGAGGGTGACTGAGCACTGGAAGAGGTTGCCCAGAGAGGTTGTGGAATCTCCCTCCCTGGAGATATTTAAAAACCGTTTGGACAAACTCCTGGTTCATGTGCTCTAGGAGTCCCTGCTTGAGCAGGGTGGTTGGACTAGATGACCTTCAGAGGTCCCTTCCAACCTCTACCATTCTGTGATTCTGTGAAATTACTGTTGTACATAAATCAAAGGTGCAGATTTCTTATTAAAACCAAATAATGAACTAAGATGCTCTATAAAAACAGAAATGATTCATAAATTTTGAGAGCATTGTCTTGTAGACCATGTGCGTTCTCATTGAAATACAGTTATATGGTCAGAAGGATATCACCAAGGAATGTTACTGATATTGGAGATGATGACATATCCCGTGCCTCCGCTGATATGTCATGTTTGTTGAGGAAAGCTTGATCGTAAGCAAGTGGGTTATTGTCCCTGACTTGAGTGAGATATTTCAGATACTGTTCTGGTAAGAACTTCTAATGCAACACTGCAGAAGTTGAACTGCTTTTGAATTCTGTTTACTGCTTTATTCTCAGAAATAAAAAGAAGTCATACTAAGCAGGTTATTATCCAAACTTAACGTTTGGAAAATAACTAGCTGAGATGAGGGATCTCAAAATCATCATAATCTATTGAGGGTTACCATGCTAGTGTGTTTGGAGAGGAGGAGCAGGCTATCGGGGAGAAAAATCTAAACTAGACCTAGATAAGATTTTCTCCAGACAAATAGAAGCCATTCCTCTACAGAAACATGCTTTGGTGTGATTGTGTTACTAAGGTTAATTCCCAGGTTATTTCAGTTCAGTAAGGCATTTCATCACATCTGAGTACTGCCATGATAGAAATGTTTTCCTTCCCTGGGCTTTTCCTGTTTACCAGCAACTTATTAACATGAAAGAAACTATCAATTACTGTGTAAGAAAATAAATGATTAAGCTAATTGAACACAGACTATAACCAGAAGTCAATGAAATTAAAAATTGTAGAAAAATAAATTTTTTTGTTAACTTTTTTTGTATTATAGATGTGTCATTGTTTCTAACTGCTGTGGGACATAAAGGTGTTTTTCTAGTGTGACAGCGTCCCTTAACCATAGAAAGTATATTGTATGCATATAAGTAGATCTTTAAAACACGTGTGGCATTTTCCTTCTCTTAATGTGAAATGTATAAAAAGATAAGGACTCTTTCCTGTGTTCCAGGAAGAAAATAGTGTATGCTGTTTTGTTTCCAGACAGGTATCATTGATGTTTTACATATGGTTCTGTAAAAGTAGGAAAAAAAAAAAGTGCAAACCCACAAAACCCTATTGAACTACCACTGAATGAAAGACATTGGATTACTATTATACTGAGAAGGAACTTTTTAATATAGAGAAATAAAAGTAACATAAGAAAAAATAATCATGCCTTAGACTAGACATGCAACTTCTTAACTTTTAAAAATTTTTACAGGCACTAGAGGATTTTCTGGAACAGAATAATAGACAAATTGAGGACATTGTCACCTTGGTGCGAGGAAAACTGTCTATGCAGAATCGAGTGACTCTAGGAGCACTTGTTGTGCTTGATGTTCATGCTAGGGATGTTCTTGCATCTCTAGTAAGCAAGAAAGTCAAAGATGAGAGTGACTTTGAATGGTTAAGCCAGCTTAGGTACTACTGGGAGGTAAGTGATACCTCTCAATCCTATTAGAAGGCAATTTCTGTTCACAGTTTTTCAATTTCTGCTTGCTTGCTGACACAGAGAATGGTTACACTACTATGAGAATTTCTGCTGATAAGAGAATACCCATAGCCAGTCATTTTATGGATTGCTAACTAAAATGGCCAGTAGCCAGATGCAAACAGTTTTTAATTAAAATTACTTTTTTCATCACTGCTGAGTCTCAGTACATTTGCTAAATTTGCAGAGGGGGTTACAGGCAAAATTTTTCACTCAAAGGCTGTATTTACAGGCTAGGAGATGATGTGCTGGAAAGCAGCCCTGAGGAAAAGGACTCGGGGGTAGCAGTGGATAAAAAGCTGGACATGAGCCACCAATGTGGATCTGCAGCCCAGAAGGCCAACAGCATCCTGGGCTGCATCAAAAGAATTGTGGCCAGCAGATTGAGAGAGGTGATTCTGCCCCTCTACTCTGCTCTGGTGAGACCTCACCTGGAATACTGTGTCCAGTTTTGGAGCTCTCAACACAAGAAGGACGTGTACCTGTTGGAGCATGTCCAGAGGAGGGCCACAAAAATGATCAAAGGGCTGGAGCATTTCTCCTATGAAGACAGGCTGTGAGAGTTGGGGTTGTTCAGCCTGGAGAAGAGAAGGCTCCAGGGGGACCTTATGCAGCCTTCCAGTACCTGAAATGTGCCTATTTCAGGCACTGGAAGGCTGCATAAGGCTGCAAAAGAAAGCTGGGGAAGAACTGGTCACAAGGGCATGTAGGAATAGGACGAGGGGTGATGGTTTTAAACTAGAAAAGGGTAGATTTAGGTTGGATATTAGGAAAAAAGTTTTTCAATATGAGGGTGGTGGATCATTGGAACAGGTTGCCCAGAGAGGTAGTGGAGGCCCCGTCCCTGGAGATATTCAAGGTCAGGCTTGATGGAGCCCTGAACAACCTGCTCTAGTAAAGATGTCCCTGCTTACTGTAGGGGGGTTGGACTAGATGACCTTTGAAGGTCCCTTCCAACCCAATACATTCTATGATTCTATGATTTCGGTTTTCTAATTCTGCAGAATAGAGATCAGCTTTCCCATGATACAGAAGACTTTGCATATGAAATAAAAAAATATATATATATGTAGGAATCATATTGCTGTATCAGGGTAATCAGAATGACCATAACTACAGCTGTTGGTCATGATGATTACTTCTGTTTACCTTTTAGAAAGTCTGTTAACTTTCTAAGTAGCTACACAAGACGGTTTTACTCTGCAGTATGGTGAGTAGATCTTTTTTTAGATAACAGTTAATGTAAAAAATGGTCTTTTTGTTCAATACTTTAGTATCTATTAATTGGCTGCTTTTTTTTTTTTTTTAAATTTGAGTCACATTGAAACTAGTGGCTCAGAGGAATTGGTAATCTGCTGTGTAGTTGTTTCTCACAGCATTGGGCCTGCTAAGGAACTTGAGAAATAGCGTTGAGTTGCACATGTGGGTTTTTAAAAATAATTTATTTAATCTAGAAAATTAATGCCTTCTTTCTTAGGAAGGGCATTTACAAACAAAGATGATCAACGCTGGACTGAGGTATGGATACGAGTATCTTGGCAATACCCCTAGGCTGGTTATTACTCCACTAACAGACAGATGTTACAGGTAAAACTTCAAGTTACTAAATGTATTGTATTAGCAAGAATTTACTTAGTTAATATATTTTAATTAGTCCTGAGAATACATGACTCCAAAATTGTATTTTTTAATGTTCTAATAGGCATAATTAGAATAGGATACATCTATTTTGGTGGAATAGAATTGTGGTCCTTCATGAATATTTTATTTAAAATTTATTATAAAATTAATCTTTTGTGACACTGTAATTAATGATAAATTACAAGAGGATTTAGAAAGTGGAAAGTAAGCTATTCTCTATCGTGAACTGCTAGTAAATGTCATACATTACTATACATTTCTAAACAACATCTGGCCAGGAGCAAGTAAGCTGTACCATTACAGGAAATGCAGACATGAAACAAGTTTTTAAAAGTTTCTGGTAAAAGTTAGAGCAGCTGGAAAAATAGCATAAAAATTCATACTTTTTTATTTCCTATTATTTTATTTCCAGAACCCTATTTGGTGCACTACACCTACACCTTGGAGGTGCCCCTGAAGGTCCTGCTGGAACTGGAAAAACAGAAACTACAAAAGATTTAGCAAAGGCTGTAGCTAAACAGTGTGTGGTTTTCAATTGTTCCGATGGATTGGATTACCTTGCATTAGGAAAATTTTTTAAGGTTTGCATAAATTTTGAGGGTCGTATTCTCAAATATATTAAAGGCCTTTCATTATTCTGGCACTTGAAGTGGTCTTAAGGTATTATAAGTGTATCTTTCTCCACTTCCAGACCACTATATAATGCTACTATTGTGCAGAAAGGTCTTACCGTAAGCAAGAATCTAACCAAGATATCAAAATGTTTTTTATGTGCTTTGGAAACAAAGTATCCCATAATGATTTTATTTGCTTTAAATAGGCAATATAGGTGCCATTTCAATGAGTGCATTTATAGTAGCTAATTGCAAATTTTAGAGGATTTGAGGCTTAATCTAAAATCTAAATAATCTGGTATGAGTCATTATATTATACAAATCAAGCATATATTCATTTCTATATTAGCTTGAGTAGACAGCTCTGTATTATGAAAATCTATCCTAAATGTACATCTGTGTTGTACAGTCCAGTGTCCTGGTTTAGACTGGAATGATAAAAAAATAGAGCAATTATGCTTTCCTCCCTGGCATTATTCTTACCTTCTGAGTCAGAGGTGGCATTGGAATGATGTGATTTGTCTTCAAATTCAACATGATTTGAACATGTTCACCACAAGCTCACCACAATTAGCTAAATTAAGAGGTTTTGTTTAGAATTATAAAAGCAAAGTCTATCTTAAATGTGAATTTTAGAGGTACTGTTAATGAAGCATGAGATGCCATCAGAGGACTACCAGTGCTGCAGAGACAGTACAGTCGCATTTGGGGAGCATATCTCAGAAAAGACCTATGAATTAACCAGACTTGAGAGAACTATTCTTTAGTTGCACTTTAGGTAATGTGATATGTCCTAAGATGCCATAACCAAATGGTTAACTTCAGCCATGCAGAAGTTCTAATGTTACCTTTTGACACTGCAAACCCTGTTAACATAGATGCAAAAGAACAGGATTTTTGGAGGCTTGTTTAGTGCTGAAATCTTCCTGCTTGACCAGTTGCAAAGTAATAACTGTATAGGTAAAACATGCAAAATGTTTGCATTTGCAGAAGGCACTTTGCAGAAGAATTAGGGTTTTGGATTAGTTTGTACATGTTTTTTTGTCTTAATGTTGGGGGGTTTTTTACAAGCAAACTTAATTTTTAAATTTCTGTAATTCTGTTTGAAACAAATTCTGTCTGGAGTGATTTTGTTTAGAAGTTAGTGGATCATGGATATAAGTCCTTTCCACATTAAAACTTGTAGTTATTGCAGAATTTATTTGATTAGCATGCACAAAAGAAGTAGTTACCTGTTAATTAGTCATATGTCTCTCTCTTCTAGGGTTTATTGTCTTGTGGGGCATGGGCTTGCTTTGATGAATTCAACAGGATTGATTTGGAAGTACTCTCTGTGGTTGCTCAGCAGATTTTTACTATCCAAAGAGGTAGCCTGTTATTTTAATCATATCTTTCACTTACATATGACAGAGAATAAAGATGCAACAAAACCTGCCCAGCAATGACATTAGTTTTTATTTTTCCATAGGCATTAATTCAGGATCTGATTTAATAGTATTTGAAGGAACTGAACTAAAACTGAACCCTACATGTGCTGTCTTCATTACCATGAATCCTGGTTATGCTGGGCGTTCAGAGCTTCCTGATAATCTTAAGGTATTATAACACTTGTCGTTTTATTACTTTTAAATAGCTAATACAGAAAGTAAAGAAAGAAATAACTTTTTGTCAAGTATAGAAATTATTAAAAATATTTAATATTGGTTACCTTCAGTTTTTGATTACACTAGTGTAAAAATCACCTCTCAGAAGAAAAATAAATTAAAAAGGATAAGACTGAATTATAGGATTAAACAATTTTAAAATGTCAGGAAGTGGTTTCTTGATTCAAGGTCTGATTGTTAGGATAAAAAAATTTAAAAAACCCCCACTTCCCGTGTTTCTTGGCTAAGCACCTGAAAGTTCAAAAATTAAAAGGAGGGCTTCATAGTGTACAAGCAGTGAGTAATATCTTAATATTGAGGAAAAAGAAGGGGTTTTATTAATTTCTGTTTTTCCTTGATCTTTTGGTTTGATCTTGAAGGGACTTGTGGTGTTTTTAATGTAAGAAATTTCTATTCTGTTGAAGTTTATTATTGAGTGATTGTTAGAAGAGTGCTACATCCTTTATTACCCTTTAAATACATTTGTTCTGTGTCCATAGAAAGAAAAGGAAAACTGAGGAAGTATCTTTATAAATTAATAAAAACACAGAAAATTCAGTCTTCATAAATATTTCTAATAACTGTCTGGGAAGTTTACTCACTAACACATAGTATGAATACAAGATTCAAAAACATTCTGGTAGAATATGAAAAGTAGCATAAGTTTTGTCTGTTTGAAAGTATTCTGATGCTTGTTTGGTAGAACAGTGGTAAAATTGAAGCAGAGGCTGCAGGTAAACAATGCTAGTAGGAGTTTGAGAGCATCAACTTATTTTTGGTAGTTGTACTGCACTCCCCTATTCCTTCTAGAGTTTGTGGTGTTTTATGTGTTCTTGTTAATCCTGAATGAAGATGATCTACAACCGTGAATTGTCATAATGGAAAAGAAAGTATTTCTGAGCATTTATGGAAAGCCATTAAATGTATTGTAGTCATAATTGTGATAGTTACATTTAATTGGCTGTCACTATATTAATGAAGGAATGAAAAAAATAGTCTTTTATGTAATTGTAGAAAAAAGTTGTATATAATAATGTGGTATAATTTTTTCTGATGTGATTTTTCATGTGTCTGTTTAATAGGCTCTCTTTAGAACAGTAGCTATGATGGTTCCTGATTATGCCATGATTGCAGAAATTGTTCTGTATTCTTGTGGTTTTGTTACTGCTCGACCTCTGTCTGTAAAAATTGTAGCTACATATCGTCTGTGTTCAGAGCAGTTGTCTTCTCAGCACCACTATGATTATGGAATGAGAGCTGTGAAGTCAGTACTCACTGCTGCTGGGAATCTGAAGGTAAATGATTTTTTGACTTTGTCGTCCAATAACTTAGTAGTGTGTCTCTTGTAACAGAAGGTACAGTATTCTACATAATGGCAAGCAGATGTTTAAAATTTCATCCTGTGATACATATGAAAATTAAAAGGGAATATGAAAATTGTCAGGGAATAAGCTGAGGAAAATCAAGAAGATACAAAGCTGCCAGGCCATTCACCACATACCACTTGTCACTGAATGATGTGCCTATTAAGTGCGCCAATTTTAATTCAAGAATTCTAGTTAAATGCAGATTTACTGAGTTGTTTGGCATGTTGTCCCTTGCTTTGCTCTGCCTTTCTTATAAGATTCAGTTGCCATAGTATGTGAACACTTTTCAGTAACATGGTGGCTAGTATCTGCTTCACCTGACTTTCATCACTCTTTTGTCATTAGAAAAAAATTACAAAAAAAAAAGTATATATAGATATATTTTTTTTTAATCACCTGGGAGAGAGACCTATATACAAGCTTTTAGAATTTCCACTTTGATGAAGGCAGAAGTTCTATGTCAAAGCAGGGAAAATTATCCTTTTTAGGAAGAAAAGGAATAAAGCTTAGAAAGCAAGAAATCAATGGTTTAGGAAAAAATGTTGAATCAAATTTATAGTAACACCCATCACTTGGCATAAACTCAAGTGAAATTGGCCTAACTATAGAAACCTACTGCAAACACCTTGGTATGAATGTATAAACATACATCCAGCACATATGCTGTTATCAGTAACCTGCCAAAATAATTGTGTAGATGCAAAACAGCAAATGTTCAGTAGAAAAGGCAAGTTTAACATCAGTTTTTTGAAACTATAAAGTTAACTAAAACTGTTTTTTATTTTTATTTCTTTTTTAGCTGAAATATCCATTGGAAGATGAAGAAATTTTACTCCTTAGATCCATTACGGATGTCAACCTGCCTAAATTCTTGTCTCATGATTTACCACTTTTTGAGGTAGAAAACATACAGATTTTTAGTAATGTAAAGAGCTTGCTAAAATTAATAATTAATAAAAATATTATATAACAGGTGATCAGAGAGATGGACCAAAGACTTTTTTAAACTAGCCTGTAATTATTTTAAAAGACTGTTCCTTCCTAGCAAATACAGTGAGCATTTGGGTTTTGATAGTTTAGACCAATGGAAGTTTCTGCCAGTCTTGAAATGGTAACTACTATTTTTCTATATCACGTATTCAGGATTTCAGAATACCTTATAAATATTCTTATGAAATAGGTAGGTACTAATAGTCCTTTTTATAAGAGAAAATTAGAATTTTCATTTAAAACATGTGCAAAACAGTAAATAGACTAAGTGGCCTACATCCATTCTTGTCCCGAGTTTATCTCAATATGGAGCTGAGCTGTGGAAAATGATCTGTGACTTGCTCCCCCGATTTACAGCATGCACTAAAACAGTCAGTCTGTGTCCTAATATGCACCATTTGGATTGGGCGTCTAATCTCTTACCACAGGATAGGCATGTTTAATATTCCTCTGATTGAACCAGACATGCCCAACACACATGTGAGCTGTCACCTTTGTTAGGGAAAGTTTGTAATCTTCTTTGGTAGCTGTGAGCTTTGTGTGTCCTGTTAGGAAAAGAAGAAAGGATCTGGGCTGGTGTGTACAGATGTTTGGAAACTGAAAACATTGTCCTTCTTATGTACCTTTTTAGTGGAAAGATCTATGTGGAAAAAAAGCTGTTTCTTCACAGACAGTCACGGGAATTTGTGTGCAGTTATACGCTCACGTCAAAAACGCTCACAAGTTGTTTTGGATACTAATAGATATATTTTAGCAGTCACATTAGTTGCAATTATATTTCCAGTGCAGAATACTTATTTTTGTGTAATTTTATAATGGAGTAAAATGAGGTAATTTCTGTAAGAAAACATCCATGACGGCATAAAAGTAATATGGAAGCTCTTTAGGAATTTTAAGAAAAAGCCTTAGAAATCTGAAGGACAGAAGAGGTAATTGCCTTGCCCAAAATTACATGAAAATGTAATGAATTTGAAACTTAACATTTGCCTCTGGACATTGTTACTCTAATCTAGTTTAAATTCTGCTTAAAATACATACTTGTTCCTGAAAACAAGCCATGAGTGTGAAGGGAGATTTCATATTTTCCTAAGTTTTGAAATAGTGTAGATAAATTTAGAGAAGTTGTCTGGGGAAAGTGAAGCATCTTCACTAACTGTTTCTCTTAAGTTTCAGTCTTCAAGAATAAGAATAACAGTGTTTAGAATTTAGTGTATAGAAACTAAGTATATTTATGAAGTAATACTACTCATTTTCAGTTTCATGGAATAGGAAATGTATGTTGTTTTAGAGATTAAATAGCCTTGCACATACTGATATTTTGCTTATTGGCATATCCCAAAAATAGGAACAATTTTATAATTTGAAGCTAGGAAGTATCACATTAACCTGTAAACACAAAAGATAACTAAGGAATGTAAGGCTAATAAATAGAACTAAAGTAGAAGATTATGCCAGAACAGATGTATGTTACAAGGAAGAACACTGACAAATGAGCACGATGCTGCTATGTTACTGTAATTAGTTATCCATTGTGGGACAGATTTACGGGTCAGCAGTAAGTTAGGCCTGGAGTATGTGAGAGTTGTAATAGCCTAATTCTGTTAGTTCTGGAATAAAGTAACTTTATTTGAAATTCTTAACAGATACAGAAAGAATTATAGAAAGGTTTAAGTTCGGCAGTAGTAATGTAATTTAAAATTTTAAATAAGATTTTAAGAATTATTTCCATTTTTATTATGAGAAATATTAATTTCTTCCCTTAATTTGTATGTCACACTTGAGTGTGGCAGTACAACTTATGCTGTGATACTAAATAGTTTATTGTATTTCCTCCATTTCCCCATATTTGTCATCCATTTTGTAAAAAGGAAATGATTACTTGATCATTTTTTTTCTCTCATTTCCTAGTTGTAAAATCTAGTAGGCGTAGAAAGATCATACTCTAGCACAAGTGTGTAAATCTCTAATTCTTTAACAGACAGTGTGAAGAAAAAGTGCAGGACATGAATGACATGGAAATTTTGCATCAAATGTGTTTCAGACAAGAAAACCTGCTCACCTTGAGCACAGCTTGATATTTCTACTTGGGAAATATGATTATTTTCATAGGAAAAGCCTTGGTTTTTTCATAGTCAATTGTAAAATATGCCCTTGGTATCACAGAATGTTAAACATATATATATTAATACATTTAAATAAAAAACCCACTTTAAAGTCAAGATGTGGTGTGCTCATTAACATGTTAACAGTGGAAACTAACAGTGCTAAAAGAAAAACCAAGGCACACAGTAGAAAGAAACCAACATACACAGTAACAAGAAAAATGTCAAAATAATGGCTTCTAGGTTCACCAATAACTGCTGTCATTGTAATTTCTAAATACTATGTTTTATTTTGAGTGTTTTTTCAGTAATCTTCGCTTTCTGAGCTGATACTGCAGGTCTGTCTCATTGAAATGGCAGCCTGGGGATTCTTTTTCTCACTTGTTGTGTCTTCAGTTTATTATGTATCTTTCTTGTTTTGTTATAAGAAAAATTGCAAGATCTTTGCTTTTAAATTTAGATTTCAGTTAATTATTTTTCAACTATTGAAGAAAAAAGGTAAACGCTTTCTCCGCTTTCTAACTGCAAGATTTATAAACTAGTTTAATAAAAGCTAATGTTTATCAGGAAAGAATATGCTTAGATAGTTAATCCCTTCCATGTGTGCCCAGATGTATATGAAAAATATACATGAAATAAATATCAATAATAAATTACAAAGTTAGAATTATGGTGATGTGAAATTATTAATTATTTTATTTTAATTAAAATAGATACTGGTCTGCATAGTGTCAAGAAAGGGTTGATTGCATGAGTTTCAAACCAAATTAGTGTGAAAATAAGTGTACTTACCAATTAATTGTTTGGATTTAGGGCATTACCTCTGATTTGTTTCCTGGTGTGAAGCTACCAAAACCAGACTACAATGACCTATTGGAAGCCATCAAAACAAACTGTGATGCTATGAATTTGCAAATGACTGATGAATTTACTATGAAGATCCTGCAAATATATGAGATGATGATTGTGCGTCATGGCTTTATGATAGTTGGTGAGCCTTTTGGGGGAAAAACATGTGCATATCGAGTTCTGGCAGGAGCATTGGGAGACATATGTGAGAAGGTATCTAAATGTTTTTATAAATATTTCTAGTGACAAACTATTTTCAAACAAATTTTATAAACATATTTTAGTATTTATACTGAATACAGAATTTACTTTAAGGAACTTAAAATTGTAAGGAAAAGCTAAAGAATTTGATTAAGCAGCTGTACTTCCACACTTATGGCCTAGTGTTAAATATACACATTTCATGTGTTTCTACACATAGTGTTTTCACCAAGTTCTTTTATTGGACTGGACAAGGAATGAATTAGCTACTTGAAATTTTATGATAAAGTGTTCCTTCTGAAGGCTTTATACCAGATTTCCAACTTATTCATGAGAGCTACTAAATTGTCTTTTAACAGAGATTATTCAGTTTAGAACTACACCAAACAATGGATCTGCTTCATAAACTTATACAAAGTTTTGCAGATTTTCTGATAAGAATATAATAAAGTCACGTAAACTCAGAAATTAAATAGTCTAAAATTTAGCTTATTTTTGAAGCCAGAGTATTTCAGTTTTCAGACAAATTTTGGATTGGATACAAATCCAAGATCTGTTCTGCTAAAAAGCTTCTCACCTGTCATAGAAGAAGTAGGTAATAATTGTTATCTATAAAATATTTAAGTGTTCCAGTAGTATAGCTATACCAAATCTTGCTCAAATTCAAGCCATCAAAATATTTATGTTTCATATGGGATCTTTGGAATCCTGACACTGTGGAGGCTTTTGCAGAATAATCTAATCATAGTTATTGTCTTTAGTATTCTGTGTTCTAAGGACTTCTAGACTCTGTCTGGTCTGATCGGCTAGGATGGAATGTAAACCCAGTAGAAGGTTTCTGTAGCTGTTTCTGAAATTAAGTGCTTAGGATTTGAGACTTTGAGAGGTGACTAGCCCACTTATTGAACTCCAGGCACTTCCAGAGAAAAATAGAAATAACCATGAAGTGTAAGTGATCTTCAGGACACTGAATTTCTTGAGGCTGGCTGACTGGAAACATGGAACCAACCACCTTAGCAAAATTGTTTCATTTCCTTAATAGTGATTTTCAGGCAGGCTCTTTGTATATTTGTGCAGGTATTGCAAGACTAGATCGACTAGAATTATGTGGTAGGGTAATAAATTTTTATCTGATTATTTTCTTCCTGTTAGCTTGGCTTCTCAGTCAACTGTAATGATCAATTTAATGTCCTTTATGCCTATTGGAGCTTCCACCAACACACCCTCCACATTATTCTGATTATGATAATTTTTTTGGAGGATTTTTACCATCTTTAATAAAATCTTATTGATCTGAACTACTTAGTGTTTAGTTATGGGAACTCTAGCAGCTATATTGGGACTATATCTGAATTATATAATTAGAGGGTGTTATGATGAGTAAGATGAGAAGGAGAAGTTTGTGATGAATGAGGTAAGAAGGTGCTAAGAAAGATTATGTATATCTGTGGGAGGAAGGCAGTCAGAACAAATGTGAAATTATGCCAAACTCTGGATTTCTCAGTTCAAGTTAAAAAAAAATAGGGCTGCTTTTGGAAGGAGGTTGTTTGTTTGTTTTCTGAAATCGGGGATACAGGTTTCTGTTATTTTAAGGCTATAGTAAGTAAGTGCTCAAATGAATGTTTGCAGTTTGTCACTTTTGCTTGTAGTTTGTTACTGCAGAACAGTGGTTTTCAGCCACCTGATCTATGATGTCGGACGTATTAAATTTCTTATTTAGTCACAAGGAGAGAACAAAAGAATCAGTGAAGTTTAATAAAAAAGTAAAATTAGATATTTTTATATGGTTTAAGTAAAAAACCCTAAAAAACCCAAACCAACTTTGTAATGTCATTTTGACATCAGTCTTAAGAAATGTACCAAGGCAGTCATATTTATTCCTTAAACGTGGGAAAAATGGGAGAGACAAAAGGGCTTGGCCTGTTGTAATGCCTGTAAGTGTAAGAATAGAACTTGGGTTTCTTGACTGACTGCCCAATGTCCGGTTCACTAACGTTAAAAAAAAAAAAAAAATCTGTTTTTAATTATCAAGTCACAGTTCAATGTTAAAATTAGACTTCCAACTACATATGATAAAGTTGGGATAATTGTCTTTAGGCACTTGTAAGCCATCTTTCAAATGTAATATGTGTAATGTCTTTCCTGATGTAAACTGATGAAATTTTAATGAAGATTTAATAATATATAACTGTAAAATTCAAGATAAAACAAATGGCATAATAAATTACATGTGTAGTGTTACACGGATGTTATTACTCTTGTATCTTCAGGGGCTGATGGAAGAAAACAAAGTTCAGATCACTGTTTTAAATCCCAAATCCATAACAATGGGTCAGCTATATGGACAGTTTGATCCAGTGTCACATGAATGGTCAGATGGCATCCTAGCAGTGAGCTTCAGAGCATTTGCTTCTTCCCCAGTAAGTGCTTAACAGGCTAGAGCATTTTGGGAAATGACTTTTCAATTTCTATATTTCTAATTCCACGTTGTTTGCACAACCATTGTGAGATTCATACACTTAATCATTTCAATGCAAAGACTGCAGTTTGACAGTCTTGTATGTATGGCAGCATTGTAGTATGCTCCATGCAAAGTATTTTTTGGATGGTGAGAAATTAAGATTTGTGTTTCAGAAGTCCTTATGTGGAGATAAGGATTTTTTGTTTGTTTGTTCGTTGGCATATGTTATAAATAAATTAATATTTAATCTTTCTACTATATTGTCATTTCTTATTTTGTCTGATTATGACCCAAATCTGTGCTGTTTATGTATATGGACATTTTGACATATATTTTGGAAGAAATTGTTGAGTGTGGCTTATGGTTGACCTTCCATTAAAGTACATTGGCATATTTTCACTAAGTGTAATTAAAGATGTATCAACCTGACAGATACTTTACTTCTTGCTAGTGATTGCAGTATCAGACTCTTTGCCCCTATAAAATTAAATAAACTAATAGTATATTGAAGTTGATCAGTGTGAAGTTCACTGTCTCTAATAACATTTGCTGAACTGCACAACTGCTTTGTATTTTCCTGTAAGAAATATGATTAACACCTATGAGTATTTGCTTATATTGTAAAAAACCTAGACAAACTACATTTAGATATCACTGTGTTCATTAAATCAGTCCTGTTGACTTCCATGGTAAGTGTGCAGTATTTCTGATGAGTAGTAACTTCTTGTATTAACGGTCTCACTGTGTCATAAATCAAAGTATTTGAATATGTTGCAGTTTGACAGAAGCAATGTACTGCATTGCAAGTGTAACTGAAAGAAAACAGTCAAAGATAGTAACCTTCTATAGTTAACTACAGTATATGCTTTAAAATTATAAAACTAAATTGTGACTATAAATTGTGATTTCAGAAACTGCTTGTGAATACAACTCTGTACTCCTAATATTTTCAATAATTTTTTGTGGAAAATAACTGCAGATCTAAAATATTTATTTTACAGTAAATGTAATAAAATAAATTGCAAATATTTGATGAAAAATATTTTCTGTAAACTAGACTCCAGATAGGAAATGGTTGGTTTTTGATGGACCAGTGGATGCAGTGTGGATTGAGAATATGAATACTGTGCTTGATGATAATAAAAAGTTGTGCCTTATGAGCGGAGAGATCATCCAAATGTCACAGCAAATGAGCCTTATTTTTGAGCCAATGGATTTAGAAGTTGCTTCTCCTGCTACTGTAAGTAACAGTCTTTGAAAGACTGATTACAAATGTCTGTGATTATTGTGGTACATACTCAATTTTTAGAAAATATACTTAACTGAGAGTAGTATTTATATCTTTGCTGTGTTTAAAATAAAGAACATTGTAGCTTGGTTTTCTTGTTTAAGTTTTTCATAATCTTACAATATGATGTGAAAAATTACATAGTTATATATGTAATATAAATTACCTATACAGAAGACCCTGTAACTGTTCAGAGTCCAGCCTTTGCAAGGGCAGGACAAGAGGAATAAAATCATTCATGTGCATCTTTAATCTCCCAGACAAATTCTCATAAAACCGATAATCATTGCATTTCTGGCACCTGTCTATATCTATCACACCTATTTTTTTTTTTTCTGATGGCATTTTGTCAAATGCAAAAATTTGCTCTTAAAGTAGAACACAGGCTCAGATAATAATATAAATAAAACAAAATATCTGCATGGTAATACTGGAAAGGAATTTTTACTTAAAAATTATATAAAAATTAAAAATTAAGTGCTATGCACTGTAGTAGTCTGTTTATTATTTTATGTGACCTTAATGTTGGGAACTGATTCTGTTTAAGAGTAAAATCCATCTTTGATATTAGATCTCCTGTTGGTCGAACAATAAAGGTTAGATTTGAAACTCATCTGTCTCAGGGCTCACAGAACCCCACTCTACACTGTACCAGCTTCTAATAATCCCAGAAGCTGTATGTTATAACACAGAATGTTATTTTAAGTTCTTGTTAGATAGGAAAAAAACCTTTGGAGATCAGATAAGATAACATGCACCTATTTGTTTCTTTATTTTCAGGTTTCACGGTGTGGTATGGTGTATATGGAGCCCCATATGTTAGGCTGGAGACCATTAATGATGTCGTGGCTAAATACAATGCATTCAGGAATCAGCTCTGAGCATAAAGAATTTATAATAGGCCTGTTTGACAGAATGGTTCCACTCTGTCTTGAGTTTATTAGGAAATACACAAAGGTAGGAGAAACCTAGAGAAAGGTAGCTTTCTCTGTTCTGAGAAACTAAGAGTGTATGAATTATTTTCACTTACAAGTGCCAAAGGAACAAATAATTTTATTTGGACAATATTATTTTATATTTATTACTTTTTTTAAACAGCTGTTAAGGTGAAGGCTATGAGAAAGGTTTCTGTGTGTATTTTTTTAATTGCTTCTGAATGTATTTTAGATGCATTTTTCAGGGTTTTTTTATTTTCACAGTGAGGAAAAAAAACCCACCATCTAGCAATCTCTTTTCAGTGAGTAAAACATGCCTACAACTGAGAGTATTTCTTCATTCTTTTCAGGAACTATCTCCTACTTCAGATACAAACTTAGTTCGATCGCTGATGAATCTGATGGACTGCATGATGGATGAATTTGCTGATGAAGCCAAAGTTAAAGATATGAATGACCATGACATTTTCTCTTGGCTTGAGGTAGGCAGTTTGTTTAACATACAGCATAGGGAATTCCAAACCAGGCTTTAGTGAAATGGACTTCACAAACAGTAAAACCTGTATTTTGTCATTGGAATACATATTTTTTAATGTTTATTGTGGAAAATATTGTTACCTTCTTTAGAATTGATACATGGTTGAGTCTGAAGTGTTTGATGTCTTTATATAAATTTAATGATTTTTGTAAAAACCAGCCAAAATTGTATAATGATTCTCCAATTTCTAGTATCTCAGTTTATTACCAGTTAGATCAATGCTGTCTAAGGATTACATTTCAAGGAAAGCCCTGTTAACAGACATAGTCGTCGCCGTATGAGATAGACCTTTGGATAGCAGAAAGATAATCTAAATTGTTCTGGAATAAAAAGCAGTCTGTGCTTGAACTTTCTCAAAATAACAGCTCTGCACTGAGCAGGTCAGGTATTTTCCTGCAAAACAAAGATGATCAGATGCTAACATGAATGGTGATCGGTGTTACCAGCAGCATGGTTCCAAACTATATACATAAAATCAAGTTGGTCCTGTGTAATTCTACTGTGATTTGCGTCTAAAGTTTCTTTGACTTCAGTGAATAAGAACTTTGTAATATGCAGATACTAAAGTTACATTTTGTTTTTTCCAACTCTAGGGTATCTTTTTGTTTTCACTGATATGGTCTGTAGGAGCTAGCTGTAAGGAAGATGATCGACTGAAATTTGACCAAGTTGTGCGAGAAATGCTTAATGGACCAATTAGTGAGGAGACAAGAGAACGGTACAAATTGCTGAGCAGTATTGATCAACAGCCTTCAAAAGCTTTTACAGTCCCATTTCCAACAGAAGGAACAATTTACAGTTATCGATTTGTCAAAAAGGTGAGGATTGCAAAATAAGATGTAGACTTCCATTTTGAAGTAATCTTTTATGAATGCTACAAGATGTGTATTGTTATTATAAATTTATTTCTGTTGCTTCCTTCTTTTATCACTGAATAGGCCAGACATTAATCTTTGCAAGCTTGTGATAGTCTAGTGTTCTGTCTGGTTTGCAGTACCAAAACCTTTCTTTTTGGCTGCCAAAATAATTGCCTATTTTACAAATTTTCAAAACAAGTGTTCAGAAAATCTCAACCATTCTTTTTTCTGTCATTTTTTAAATTCTTGATTTCTTGCAAGATTATTTTATTTTGAGTTGCAGCACTTTTCTTAGGTTGAGGAAGCGCTTGATATACTTTAGGCCGTAAATCTTTCATTACTGTAGTAGGCTACTTCTCTGCCTCTTCTTCTCTGCCCCTTTTCCTGCGATTAAGCTGTGAATCCACGATGCATCTGTCCCAGTGGAGAAGAAAATTTCACACACTGGGTCTAGTATCTCTTGGAGACTCCAAGATAAAATAAATTTACCTTTTTTGAGTTTGTCATTCCTGTGAAGTCCTGTTGCAGTACAATGAGAATTACTTTTTGTCTAGATTTCAGCCCTTGCATAATTCCTGCATCTTGCTAAGGGAAAGTGGCTGAGATTTCAATCAGCAGTAAAGCCTTTATGTCTTCTGATCATAATCCATAAAACCATGTTCTTCCAGTAAAGAGGCTTTTTTGTTCAGAGGTGGGAATATGCCCCCTCTAAGAAGGACTGAAGGAGAGACCAATCTTTCTGATTTTAATATGACTTCTATGTCAAGATAGAATAGTTTTTTGATAGGATGGAACATACAGTTATTTCAGGGCTATTTGCAATTTAAAAAAAAATCTCCTTACATTAACCCTGCTGCTGGAGAGTTTTGACATATATATTTTAAGACTCTTCTAGTTGGCTGATCTGAAAGATAAATCTTTGCTGTGGAGCATCATCACTAAAATTAATCTGCCCTTCATCATTTGGAGGCATTTATTAAGAATGAAAGTCTGTGAAAAGACTTACTATGCTTTTTTAGTTTTAGTTATTAAATTTACACATTAATTTCCTGTTTTATCACATATTTTTATACTATATATAATGTATATATAAATATATGTATTTTTCCTTTATATATATATATAAAAAACATATGTACAGATATAAAAGGTAAGATAAAGTCCATGTCTTTCAGTAGTTGCATGCCTCAGGCACAAGCATTATGTTTCTTTTTAAGTACTCTCAATTGAAAGCACTACATTCTGAAACAAACCTATGAAATTATTTTTTAATCCTTTTAGAAACTGGTTGATAACTCCATCTGTTAAGTCAGAGAACTTTGATTTTTCTCTTTACATTGGTTCTATGCCGTTTTTTTTCCTGTTTCTTATAAATATATTACTTTCATATAAATTGAAATAGGGAGCAGGAATTTGGGAACCCTGGGTGGAAACACTCAAATCAGCTCCTCCTATACATCAAGATATGATGTTTAATGAAATAATTGTACCAACTCTGGACACAGTTCGATACATGGCATTGATGGAATTGTTGACAGTGCATCAAAAACCCTCTATATTTGTGGGACCAACAGGAACTGGAAAAAGTACTTATATTACTGTAAGTACTTTTAATACTCACATTAGACTTATAAAAGAGGTAAGATATGAATAATTTAGTATCTTTTTTTAAAAAGTAAAATGAGACATAAATTGTTTGATATTATGAAATGAAATTACAGCAATTAAAAATGCAGTTGCATAGTAAAATGTGGTGGTTTGGGGGTTTTTTTTGTTTGTTTTTTTTCCCTTCTCTGCATTTCCAGCCTAAATTCTTAAGGAGCACTCAGATATCCACTGGAATAAGCTGCTAATAGAATACAAACAGGACAACAAGAAAAGAAACACATATGTCCTAGATTTAGAAGCAGCAAAAATGTTTGCTGCTATTATTGTGGAAAAGATGAGTAGATAACCTTTTCTAGTCAGATGCTACTATGGCAATTCCATGCACTGGAAAACAAGGAAGAAGAATTTTGTCGCTGAAAGAAATATGAAGGCAAGAAATTAACAGCTGTATTACCAAATCATTCTTTATAGTAAAAGACTATAGTGGGAAGGGGAACTGGCTAGTCAAGATCTTCCCAGACAGTTTTCTTCAGATAACCAGTTAGCTATATCTGGTCATTATGATGAAAAGCAGCTGCCTATTTCAAGAGAAATAAATTTTAAATCAAAACAATTGTGTGTCCTGTTTTATAGAATGCTAAATATTCGTTACCCATCTTATCCTTGTCTTCGAGAGAAAATGAAAGAGAAACACAAATAATAATGATAATCTAACTTAACTTTATCTTTTGGCTGTACATAATTTCTGTTATTTCTGAAGCAAAATCTTCTTGGCAAAGTACTAATACTTGACCTAGTTTTAGGACTTTTAAGCTTGATATAATCTTCCTGTAGAAAGGAAAAAAAGGATAGTTTTTTTCAGTGTATAAACAATTAATTGTTTCAACGTGAGTCTCTTTTTCTAGGAAGTAGCAATGTCAACAATTATTTAATATTTAAAGAAGTTATGTTATACATTAGTATCTCATATCAGCCATCTTATATAGACTAATATTATATTGTGTATTTCTATATATTACACACACAATACATTAAAAAGACTTAAAAGGTAGTGAAATAGTTCAGTAGCTAATAAAATAATTTGACATCTCTTGTGCATTCATTATGATAAACTTTTGAATTGCATGATCATATACTCTCCCCACGCCTGTAGGATTCCAGGCTTGCCACTATCAGTATTAGTCTATTTGCATTTGTTTAAAAAGTATTTTATGTAGAATCCCTGCTCCACTTGCAGAGCTTCAAAAATTTGCAGTAGATTCAGGAAAACAGCAGTTTTAAGGGAATGGTTTCAGTCCCTGTCAGCAACAGAAGTCACCTGTAACAGTAGGCCAGTCACTTCAGTCAAACTTTTCACAGGCAATTACTGTGTTCCTTACTTTCTGGGGGGCTGATTTGAATCCATGGGTTCTGATTTACAGAAGTGCTGTTCTTGAAGAATCAAGTTGTTGTTATCTGAAGTTAGATAACTAACTGGATAATATTTTGCCCATTACCTTTTCATGTCTACAAATACTATTTTTTCTGTCTAAAGGGATAAGTTCAGTATAATTGAAAGCACACTTTATTATCTTTTGAAATAATTGAATCCTTGTTATTTTGGGATAGATAATTTCCTTTTCTTCATCTTCAGTCACCATGTGATGCTTTGTTATTTTTAATTTTGTCATGTGGTTATTAAAATAACAACATGGGTCATATAGAAAATTATTCTAATGGTCTAGATTAAAAATTTTAAGTAAATTTTAATTCTTCAGACAGATCTGACAGATACTTTGGGTTAAATCCTGATATGATCAATCTTTCTGGAAGACTATTAAAGTCTGACCGGCAATGGAACTGTGCTGATAGAATGTTCATGCTGATGTTCAGCCCAGGGAAGTTGTGGATGCCCCCTCCCTGAAAATTTTCAAAGCCAGGTTGGATGAGGCTTTGAGCAACCTGGTCTAGTGGAAGGTGTCCCTGCTCATGGCAGTGGGTTGGAACTAGCTGGTCCTTCAGGTCCCTTCCAACCCAAAGCATTTAAATGATTCTATGTTCACTTACAGAAATTTCCAAAGTCAGCGTTTTTCACTTGGTTCCATCTTGATTTATGGGAAAGTATACTTCTGAGGCAAAAAAGGGGATATGTGAGTAGAGCTATGGCAAAGCTATTATTGTGTTTTTAGCTCATGAGATTCTCTAAGTAAATCATGAGAGAAGGAAGAAGCCATTCCTCTGAGCAGCACAAAATTGATTTTATTTGTTATTTTTTCATCCAGTATGTCTTTTTGTAGAGGATTTTGCTTCTGTTGAGTCCTCCTATGCAATCAGCATGAAGCCTGTGTACACTTAATTGTTTCTCAGAGGGAGGAAAGCTTGAAAGTTATGTAAGCAGATAAAATAAATTTGGCTTCATGGTCTTGAATCTGTTATCTTTCCTTCCTTTTGTATGATAAACATTAACTGTGGAGTAACCAACTAAGGATTATTTAACTTAATTTTATTTTTAAGTTACTTTTCTGAAATAATTTTCAAGAAACTAAATATTAAGACTGGAAGATCTCTTCATAAAAGACTGTTCCTGGAATGTTGATATCAGAAATATAATAAAACATAAATAAAACATTTTTTATAATTAAGAATGTGACTAGTTTCTACTGCCCAGTTCATTTCTGAGGTGATAGTTAAGCATGTGATATTTCTTGGGAGTTCAGAACTGAACAAAAGAATACAAGAAGTATGGCCATTGAGTCATACTGCTCTATAGTTCCCATAAGTCGTTATATTATTGTGCAGCAGCTCAAATTTTTACTT